CGATTTATGTGAGATCTGATTTGTGCAACTAAAAGCTAGAAAACCTTTTGTTGTTGATTTCAGTGTGCTTATGAGCTGGGATTAATGTTCTTGGGTAACTTTTTTGTGCTTACTGATGTAGACAAACATGCACAAGTTCTAAATTTATATAGCATGTACTGGAACCAAGCTTGCCTTTCATTCAAATGCTGTTATGAACAGGTGGCATTTCTTATACCTAATGACTCTTAAAATGACACACACTGATGGGTGAGTCTAGAGAAATAACAAAATAAATAAAGAAGATACCTAGCTGTAGTCTATCTGTAGCAACACTAAACATCAATTCTGTTCTCTGAGACCAAGCAGAGTTAACTTCTGTGAATGAGATACAAGGATTTTATTATTATTATTATTATTATTTATTTATGGCTATATATGTGTGGATGCAGACATACATACATTTGTATATGTGACATTGTGACCAGGTATTTTTTACTATTTCTTTTGCTGAGGGAGTTTACAGATTCTGCATTCAGAAGATTAAAAGGAACTGTTTACAGGAAGATACACAAACACAGTCTGTAACAGATATGCCACAAAGCTGTGGTGATAATGCTGTTTTAAAATGTGTACTAGTGGGGACACAGAGGTAATTTCCATAACTACTGCAGCATCTTATGCCTCTAAGAGGAACTGGTAGCACAAAGTTACCATTGTGGAATACAAAGTGGAAGGTGCTTATTAAGTGTTTCAGTAACAAGAAGAAAATATTTGATATAAGATATGAAAAGGAAGCCTCCAGAAAGGTGCTTTTAAGATACAGCATTTCCTTCTCATTTTAATAATTTGGGATGATGAAAAAAATCAATAACAAGCTGAGAACTCAACTTATAAACCTTGCTTTATCTAGTTGTTTTTTTTTTTTTTTTTGGTCATCATGCAGAGGAAATTTATTGGAACTATGCTAGGAGCAATATTCACAATGGCTGTTTCACTTTAATAAGATTAAGACAGAAATATTTCTGTGCTATGTTCTTTGTCCTGAGAATATAAAAAGTAATTTGCCTAGGTTTAATCTGGAAGACTAGCTCTTGTATCGAAATGTTTACTGTGTAGGCAGCCACCCTTATTATTCTTGCTATACAAGAAAGAGGGGCTGTGAAAGTGTTCTAGCATCACAACCAGTCACACAAGAATCTACCAAATGGAGAAAACAAAATGTATCTCCTTGGTCACATCCCAAGTGACTGTCTTCACATGCCCATCTAGTTCCCTTTAAAGCAGCTGCCAGTATGGCAAGGTGTTTCCTTCCTACTTTGACAGTCCAGCACTGGATCCTCTTGGTCTGTTACATACACTCCAGACACAGTTCTGGGTTCCTGGTAGGTGTCACAGTGTGTTTGCCCTGTATGTGTCAACTAAAGGAAATCCTGCTGCCAATTCTTGGGTGACATACAAGTTGGTTTAAAGATGTTGTAGATAACTTCACATGGGCCTGAGTGCACTAGTAGAAATTAAAATTTCAAAAATAATTTGAAGGACTTAAACAGGAAGCAAATATAAAAAATGAGATGTATTTTCATTAAATTTTAAGTGGCTAAATTGTTGTAAGCTGCATCCAACTATTAACTGCAAGATTTTGTCTTGCAGAAGCATGAAGGAATAAAATAATGGCTGTAATATTATTTATTCATAATACAAGAAGCTGTGAAATCCATTGCAGTTCAGCTATATTTGTATTAGGATGCAATACATCCCAACAGAAGTGAGATTTTAGTGTGATCTGATCTGTGCTGAGAGCCTGCTGTCTTCACAGCATGAATTTCAGAGGGGTTTCTTCATCTTAGCACCAGCCTGGCTTGGTGGACTGAATGCCCGTTGGTGTTTGGGGTATGTGAGATGAGCTTCATCCAAAAGACATCCAGATTGTGTGCTCCAAGACTCTGTGATTTAAGTTGGAGTGCAGGAAGTAATCTTTCAATTAAAGGTTTTGAATTAAAGCAATAATGTAAATGCATCATTTACATCCCCATTGTCCCTAATCAATACAGTAGCTCTATTCAGCCCAATATTCAAAACAAAATTTTTGATGTGATCAAAACCTGTGTACGCACGTCTCAGCCAGGTTCAACTGCTCCAATTGAGGCAAAAGCAGAGAAACTTACCTACACCACTGCACCAGCACTTAGGGAATGTGGCTCTGCTGAAGTCAGTATCACTTTGTCTTTACAGCTGTTGGTATCCAGAGAAGTGTAAGTGTACCTATATGAAGTCTATACAGAGGTAAAAGGGCTTTGCAGGTATAAGAAGCAGAAGTTTTTGATTTAACCCCATAAAAAGATAAGAGTTATGCATGTGTTATTTATGTACCTTTATGAATTAGTGGCTAAAAGCAGAGCTGGAGAGGGGTCTCTGAGAGACTGCATTACGGGAATCAGCCGCAGAAGCGAACTTATACCTGGCACCACACAAAATGAAAACTCTGTGAGATGAGCTCTCTAGGGAGCAAATAATCACCTCATTGACAGTACTGAGCTGCATTAATATGCACCAAAAGTGATGCTAGCAGTTTCTGGAGAGCAAATTATGGTATTTCTATCTCTCACATCCTGCAGGTGTCTCTTCACTGGCAAATAAAATGGACCTTATTAAGCTGAGACATACCTCTTTGAACTAGACTTACTGTAGCATCCAGTCTGGACATATTTCAATTTCCTCATGGGGAATATAGAAAAATAGTGATTTATTTATTTATTTTGTGTGTGTGTGTGTGTGTGTGCTATTTTTCTATATTGAGTGAAATGAAAATGAGGTACTCTGCACAAATCTGAAAATCGATATTTCTTCCACTCTTTCTGCATCCTAAGGGGACGGACTATAGGAAGAGGCTGCTTGGCTTTAACCAGTCAGTAGGTGTTAAATGAGATGGCTTATCGTAAAGCCTTTATCATATATATACACACACTATATATACACATATATGTACACTCTATATACAATATATATATGAAATTTCTCATTGTTTGCAGTTTTGTTTTGGAATGTTTTTAATCATCTTTGCTTTTTTCTTTTCTTTCTTTCTTTTTTTTTTCTTTTTTTTTTTTTTTTTCTTAGTTTTTGTAGAAAGAATCATTTTTCATCACAGGGACCCAGTGAATTTTCCTGTGCTCAACTGTCTTTCCCGTGTTCAACTTAATAAAGTGGCTGCTAATATTTTTAGGGCAGATAAGGAAACTTCAAGGCAAAGTAGGAGTATCAAGCAGTGTAATGGTGTACATGATTGGCTGTTCACAATGACTGACGTCAAGATCTGAAGGAAAGTTGGAAAGATGAGCAGCAGAGTCAGGCTCTGGACTTCAGAAAATGAGATTTCTGTTTGTTTAGGCAATTTCTTTGACCAAATTTCAGTTTCTGAAGGCAGAACTCCCTCTGGAAGCTTCCATGAGGAGAAAAAGTGCATAAGCAAGATGGTTGATCTTTAAAAAAAACTTACAGAGAGTTCAGAAACAAACTTTCTTCCATTTGTACATAAAAATGAAAATTTTTGGCAGAACGGTTGCTTGGCTAGGCAGGGAGCCCCTGGATGAACTGAAACACAAGAACACACAAGAAGTAGAAACCAGGCAACAAAGAAGCAACACAAACAGAACTTCTTGAGCATTTGGAGGAAAATCAGAAAGACCCAGGCAATGAAGAAGCAACACAAACAGAACTTCTTGAGCATTTGGAGGAAAATCAGAAAGACCAAGGCTCAGCTGTAGATAAAAGTAGCGAGGAACATAAGGGGTAATGAGAGAATATGCTAGAATCAGTGGGATGTTAAAAGAAAATGTGGGTCCACTGATGAGTGTAGGAGAAACAGATGGTACAGAAAAGGCTGAATCATTCCATGCTGGCTTTGCCCCTGTCTTCACAAGCAAAATTTTCTGCATGTACCAGCACAGCTCAGGGAGGAGAGGACTACAAGGAGTAGGGGAACAACAGGTTAGGGACTGCTTTGAGAAACTGAATGATTTCAAAACCTTGGACAGGATTAGATTCACCTGAGGGTACTGAAGGGGTTGACAGGGTGACACAATTAGATAAGGTTGCAGGATTTAGCTCTGGTAAAGATTTTCTGGCTGTAGTGGTGTTGTTGGGGCTGCTTGAATTGACATTTTCAGCAAGGAACAAGGCTGAGGTGTAGTCCATACCAGAACAAATAACCAGAGAAATATTAGACAGGTTGTGTAACTTAGGCAAGGGATTTTCTAGAGATAAATAAATAAATACATCTTTTAGTCTGAGAAACCATGTGTACTGACAGGAGAAAAAAAAGACTTTTTTTTTTTTTTTGGGGGGGGGGAAGGGGGTTGTGTGTGTGTGTGCACATGTATACTTAGCCTGTTAAATTTAAAGGATGTGCTTTGTGATGAATATTCTCATCAGGCCTGCAACTGGATGCTGTCTTATCATTAACTGTCTCTGTATGAACAATGATAAAAGTTTCTGTCTTGGACTTTTTGCAGACCAATGAAAATACTTGCTGCCCTAAGTGACTAGTAAAATATCATTCTTTCTTTATCTGAGAAGTAGGATTGTGCGTTAAAACAGGAGATAGAAGTGGGATTGTTCTTTATAACAGGAGATAGAAACATTTTTATTCCACAAGTCACCACTGAATCCTGATCGATTAACCTGTCCAGTTAAGACTTACTCCTAAAGTATTTTTGATTCCTGTCTCCATATTGGTGTCTTTGAGTTATGTTTGAAAATCTAGACTAATGCACCCATCAACTTCAATAGTGCAAGGTACATATCATGTTTGTTTGCTGGATTATCTGATCCTGTCTGACATACATCTTGTCAGGAGTGCTGAAATACCTCCATCAGTGTGTTCATGAATTCTAAGTGGATGGACTGCAATCAGCTGTTTGGTTTGACCATGTACCTATCACTCTTTCATAGCTGTTGATATAAGTTAACACTAATGGATTTTGATTGCATAATCACCTGGAAATTTCTTATATTTGTGCTAGAACAAGAGTATTTATACATGAAGAAAAATACCTGCTATTCATTGAATCACTCAGGAAACAGGAAATAAAACAATGTAAGTAGTTGACCAGTCATGCACTGTAGATGGGGTGAGATTGGATTTCCTCAATTGGAGAAGAAACTGTGTAATTAAAATGGTTAGACACACAACGGTGTTTACCAAAATTGCCACGTTTGCTGGTTTTGTCCGTTAGGCTCTATATTCCGGATTTTCATTGGTGGAGGAAAATTAATACATTGTCCTATAAACAGTAGTTTTAATGGTAAAACATGGTGTTATTACATTCTGTCTCAGTAATGAAGAATATATAAATTTGCCTTTAGGAGTACAGAGCACATTTTATGTCAGATAATTTTACTGCAGATGAAACATGAATCTCAAACTCCTTGAATAAGTTTCTGAATTGAACCTTTTGTTTTTTATTTTTTTAAAATTTTCTAAAGATTTTTTTTTTTTTTTTCTGAAATTGAGTCTCTGCTGATCTTGAACATGGAAGTTCTTCTAGTATTTTCCCTGTTTTGAATTGATGGGGGAGAGAGGAACAGGTGTATTAGAGAACAGGCAGTAGAAGCAGAACAACAAAGCAGAGAAAGGCCTCTGAAGCAAAGTGTCAGTGACTAAAAATTCAAAGCATAATTAGGATGACAGGTGCCATTTTCTTCTTTGTCCTTCTCTCCCTCTCTCTCCCCCTCTTTTCCTTCATCTTTCAGTTTACCTCATATTCTCTTCTGTTCTTGCTGCCTCTTCATTGCTTCCTGCTGTGTACCTTTACTTGCTGCATGGAGTGCGCTGTAAAAGAACAGTCTGCATTCTAGTTTATGATATCTACTTTAAGAAGATATTTTTTCTTTGTTTTAAGTTAAAAGAAAATCCTCTTGTTGTGGGGAAAAAAAAGAATCATTCTCAAAATGAGACGTGGGAGAGATGTCTGAGTTTAAAGCCTTGGGAAATCTGTAGTCTAACCTCTTAGGTATTGATGCTGTCTGCAGAACTCAGGTTCCAGCAGTGGAGGATTCCTGGAGGAATAGTCCTTTGCCAAGCTGCCAGTCTTGGCACTCATTTCTCACCTAACCCCTCACAGGGCTCAGTGATTAGATGGATGTCCCTGATTGAAATTCCATGGAATTGTGTCCAGCAACCATGCTTAAGGAAAGCCTAACACGTGACAGTCATAATAGACTCAAGAAAAGGTACATCTGTTTCAAAAACACAGTTGGAGGAGTTTACCTCTGGTTGGCAACCTAATAACTAGCATTTCCCTTCTAAAAGTTGGGATGTAAATGCATATTGCCTCTCTTCTAAGATGACATGACAGTCAGGGAATCCCCACACAGCTTCCATCACTGTGTTGGTACTTCTGAGTAGGCAACTGCACAGTAAACCCATGCTAAGGAACTGACCCAGCTAACAAGGATCCCCAAATACGTGTATTTAAAGATATTTCCCTGATCGAACATAGCTGTACAGACCCATGGTCCAGCAAAGAAAACAAAGGAACATGGGAAAGGGAACCCAGTGGCAGGGGAGGGGAACTTGAAGATTAATTGTAACATCCAGCTATAACTCCAGCCCTTCTGTGTCTGGTTTTTCTGTTCTTCTGCTAGAATTTTAGCTGTTTTATGAAGCTATGTCTGTCAGAATCACTCTGAGTTTAATAACAATATCAACTAAATATTTCTAATTAGTCTGGACCTAGAAAAAGACATTGTAATGTTCTTAGAACCCATCCAAATAAACAATCCTAACCAGATTAATTGTGCAGCATCTTGATGATTTCTTGGCATCCTATGCAGATATTTTGTGCAGCATACAGGACCTTTCAACTATTTTATGAAATATGTGTAGGTCGTCCAGCATGCTGTTTGTGAGGCTAGTCACTATTTCATTTTGTGAATTGCTCAGCATCTTGATAGTACTAAAGCTTTTATTTAAATTTTCTTTTCGAAATTCTGACAAGTGCAATTAATGACTTGCTGCCTGTTGGTGGAGAATCTACATTATGCTTCTAGAAGTTTTATTTATTTATTTTTTCCTTGCCTTCCTAAAGGACCAGGACCAGTGTCATAGCTTCTTAGTGATACAAAGTAATCGTTACTGAGATTTACCCATCATAAATAGACCATTAGGTAAGTAATCCGTACTAGTGTCAGGGAATAAGCATATTTAGCTTTCATATAGCTGACTGAGAAAAATGACCATAGAAATATGATCACTTAACATTTATTTTTGGGCATTTATGATACATTTTATCTTCAAGTATCAAGGAGAGCATCAGCATGTCAGGTATATTTTTGTACCATTCTTGATTGCTCATTTATTTATAGTAATCTTGCTTCTTTGGACAAAATATGAAATTAAATCAAAGCATCTCATTTGCCTTGGATGGAAATTAAACAGAAGGATCCAGCTGATCACATATGCATCTACACAGCTGTGGTTTTATACTGACATGCATCCATTTATGTACTAAGTTTTCACAGCCCAACATATGAGAGATTTTAATGTGTGACTAACAACAGGTAGAGAGCTCAGTGAAGGTGAAAAAGGGAACACAATATTGAGAAGAGATGTTGAAGAATCAAATGAATAACTAAAATGAAGAAGGACTGAATTAATGTGTGGAGAAAAAAAGATGGGCAAAAAGTGAGAAAGAAGAAACAAAGGAAGCAACTGACAGTGAAAGGAAAATAAGTTCAGGAAAACAACTACTGCTTCTCAGTTCCAAACTGATCAGAAAAAAGTAATGTATGGTAATAGTAGAAAATGGATGGAAGTGAAAAGAGCATGAAAAAGAACAAAGATTTTTTTTTTTTTTCTCAGCTGGCTTTTGTTCACTAGAATATGTTGTTTTCTTCTCTATTGGCTTGAATGATTTGACCCCCCTTTTTTTTTTTATATTGTTTCTACTTCTTTGTGTAATGACTCCCAGGTGGGCAGACCCTGTTGAAATGGAGGTGAAGAGCAACCGAGAGACAACTGCCACAGTTCCTGCATGTACTACAGCCATAGACTGCCGGGTGCGGAGAGGTTAAACACCTCTGAAATTACCAGTCAGTTGGCATTGGCATATAGTTGTATGTCAGAGCTCTTAGCCATGTCAGCATCCAGGACAAATGGCCTCCAGCTGACCTGAGCAATAGGATCACTCTCCTCTTTCTTCTCATTCAGTTGGGACCATACATAGCAACTATGGTATGTATGGTCCCATGTCAAAGGGCTGTCATCTTCAGTATCATTCTGCTGAGATGATGCCAGTTCTGGGGATTGTGAGGATGCAGCATGAAGAAGAGAAGCTGGGGCTGTTTGGAAGAATATCACACAGATGGAGTGCTGCGGAGAGCTTGCATACAGGCTGGTATAAAGAGTTAAATATGCGTAGGACTGCCAGGCCAATGAGATTAAAACAGTACACTTCCCATGAAAGAGGAGTCATGTAAGAAATATTTAATTTAAGTGCCACTGAACTAAGCAAATAGCTCTTCTACAGTATCACTTCCCACGTGCTTCCAGATCTTCCATTCATTTGCGGTTTCTGTACTCTTCTGACCTATTGTAATAATGGCTGCTTCACCTACCCAAGTGGCTGACTTGCACAATGGAGAAACAAGCCAAGGAGCAGAAGTCTCAAGCTAGCTGTTCAATACAGGACTCAACATATTCAGCGTGTTTCAGCTGCAGCAGCAGATTTACCACGGTGTTTCTAATTGTCTCATTATGGTGTAGATGTGCAATGTGTCAAAAGATGAAAATATTAATAGAGAATAATGTATCATGCTCTATAAGTAGTTTCTTGTTGCAGAGGACAAAGTTATGAGCTGATAAAGTGAAGGTTAGGATTAAATCAGCCATTGCTAAGGAGATAACTTGAGAGAAGTACAACTTCTTCCTTAATTCTCTTTTGCTGATCCTACTCTAACTTGTAATGAAAGGATTAGACGACAAGTGTCACCAGTATTATTTCTGATGCTAAAAGATTGCTAATAGTATAATAGAAGTCTGGGCGGTGAACATCACAAGAAGAAGGTTATCTATAGCATAGGATGGAGGGGGAACCTGCTTTTTTATACCCTGCCAATCTAATTACAAATGCTTCTTGCTCCTTATATGCATCAGCTCTTTGATTCAGCTGCTAGTTTATTAGGTAGTGTGCTACACAAATCTGTCTTTGTCCTTCCTGACCTAAAAATGTCTGAGAGTGGATGATCTAAAGTCATGTAAAATCAGTGTGTTTTCTCCCAAAGGATTGTTGCTAGGCTTTGGGCCAAGCTAAAAAAATAAATAAATGAATTAGGGATTTGGTTTTTATACATGAGCTGGCAAAATACACTTTTGAAATAAAAGCCAGAAATTTATTTTCTTCTTCAGGCTCTACCATGAGAAAGAATATAATTTTTGCTGCCTTAGTTTACCCAGTTTTGTTTCACTAGTGCTTCACAGAGGAGTTGCAAGGCCAATGCAGTTCAGTGTTTGGGAAAATCATTGGAGATCCCTGATGAAAGACGCTGTACAACTTACTATCATTGTATTTTTCCTCACAGATTTATGAAAATCATTTTAAAATTTTCCTTTCTTTTGTTTGGTAGAAATAAGAAATCATTCACAACTGGCAACAGCTTTACATGATACATACATGCTAGCTTGCCATAAAATGGTTTTTGTTTTTGCATTCCCCCCCCGCCCCAGATCATATTCATTTAATATGATCCATTCTAAACTTTGCATTTGGGCTTCCTGCATGATTAATTTAATAATATTAAAAAGGTGATGAAATGTAAACTTTATAAATTTGAGGGATAATTATGTTTCTTATGTTAATCAGTGAAGCGAACAATGAATAAAACCACAGTGGCCTGATCAAAGCTGTTACATAATTTAAAATGAGGCCTTTGCTATCAGGTTGGAAGAATTATATGGAAAATAGTTGTTATCTTGATTTATAAGCTTTCTGATGCATCTTATCTCTTGCAAGGCTTTTCTCTTGAAGAATGTTAAGTACACATTTGTAGTTAATTTGCTGATACTGTGCGCACGGGTTATTACTTTTTCTTAACTTAAAGTTGTGCAGTTCATTCTTTTCAATCCTAAAAGGATAAATGCTGGGATTTTCCAAAGGAGCTTAGAGAATTTAGGGCTAAATTTTAAAAGGTTCCTGAAGATTCAGATAGATGCCAAAGGGGATTTTCAGAAGCATGCAGCTTCACATTAGAAGAAATACAGGTGGATATTGAAATTCTTGAAAATCATACTGGGTTTGTATCAGTAGCCTCTAAGTTCCTACAGGTATTAAAACTGTCTTCTTTGGATATGTCTATTTTAGTAAGTAGTGCAACACAGTAGGAACAGATTTGCAGAGTGAAATGATGCTGAGGAGCTGACATTCACATTATAGAGTTTCTGGCTGTTTTTCTTCAGATGGGCTGCGGTCCTGCCCGATAGACTAAATTCAAATTAGCAGCTAAAGCGCATTAAATGCGTCGCAAGATCCCCGAAGTACTGCTTGGAAGTCCTCTAGTCCAGTTTCCAGCTCAATGGAGGACTACTGTCAGCAGGTTCAATGATAGCTTTTTTAGACAAGTCTGCAAAGCTGTTAGAAATGGAGGCTCCACAACTTCTCTAGGGAAAGAATGCTGCACTACCCAGTGAAATGTGCTTTACTAGTTCATTTTGAGCCATCCAAGCTGCAGCTTTTGGCTGTTGCATCTTGTGTTGCTGTAGTCCACTACAAAGAAAAATTAGGCTCTGTGTCTTGTTTCTTGCCTGAGCTGTACACATTGGTATGGAAGCGCATGCAGCAGGAATGTGCCATTTCAGCCATTTCAGCTTTCTCCATATGCACCACTTTCCAACTTGTCTTTGGATGTAGACTCCCAAGTTTAAAGCTGTCAACAAAAGCCTCTACCTTATACTACTGTGAGATAGATGTTATCCCTGCTACGGATTATTTGACTTCTTGCAAGTTCCTCTCAGTTTGGCCCACAGAATCTTGTCTGAGTGCTCATTGCCTCAAAGAAATATATCAGAGAAGGAAAAGTGCCTCCCCCTAGTAGAAACTTTGATGCTTTTTTCCTCCATCAAGCTTTACTTTTGTTTTTGTCCTTAATTAGGCTCTTAATTACTTTCTCTGAAACCACAGCAAGTCTCATTGCTTTGTAATTCCCCTGATCTCCTGTGACTTCTTATTTTAAATATAGATGGTGTTTTATGTGAACAGATTGTTATCCTCAAAAATAATTGCTGTTGTAAAGCCTGTATTTTGCATCCTTGTCTATATCAACACTGCTTCAAACTTTATTTCATTCAAAGTTTTCAAGTGAATCCAGGTTCTGTACCCTGGAGAGCCTCAAACATATTGACTGCTTTCCTGTTCTTGTGCTGTAGTCTTCATAGTCCTTCTGTACTTACTGGAAAATAAATGAAGAAGATACCTTCCTTTGTTCATTAGCACTACTTCATCTGCGGTTAGCACTGGTATGAAGTAAACAATGGGCTAGGAAAGCAATTCCACAAAATAAATGAGAAGTGGAAAAAATCTGCAGTGTTGTCATCTGGTAGGTGGGTCAAAAACATCAGCCAGTGAGGGTCAGGCAGAGCCTAAGACATGTCTCTTCACAAGGTGGCAGAATCAGACTTTCAGATACTGTGTCATTCCCTATAAATCAGTTTTAGATAGGTCTGGGCTAAGTATTGATAATAGAATGACTTCCCAGAGGAATATGGACCTTCTGTCTCTCCTTTCATTAAGCTATGGCATACCCGTTGGTCTGTGTTGGACAGAAGCCTACGAACTACAGTGACTACTGATCAGAACATGGAGGAACAGCCTGTCTCCACTGCTTCCTCCTTTATGCACCCTCAAGAGCCCAAGGCAGTGCTGCAATGTGTCCTTGCAAGCAAGTTCAGGGGCCTTGGAAGACACAGTGTAACACTGAGTTGGTGCAGCGTGGTAAAAAATGTGGAGAAGATACAGGAATATGGGCTAGGGAGGTGATAATGCAGGAATATGTTGTTATTTGTATATGTGTGTGTGTGATGCAAAGTGGGTGACTAGAGGATGTAAAGCATAATGCATATCTGGGTGATGGGGTCTGTAGTGACAGGATAGTGAGCTGGGGGCAATCAGTTGAATATGGAAACTACTCTCAGGATGAAAGGCTGACAACTGTCTAAAATAGCTTCAAATAAAAGACACATTTAAAACATTGTGTATGTGTTCTTAGGACACTTTTAACATGCTTTTAGAGTCTTGCCCTGATGAACAAATAATGCTCAGGACATCAAAGTAAGTATTTAATGCACATGGTTTCCACATGGAATATCAAAAATAGGAGGTTTGGTGATTTAAATGCAAAGTAGCGATCCTGTCTCTCATCCTGATGGTTGGAAACTGAATGTACTATCACTGGGACTGTGAAAATATAAAAGATCGCATGAGTGCATAGCCGGGTTCTTCACCTGTATAACTTATCCACTGATTTCTGTGATGTTTAGGCAACTGATGCCTGTTGATGGTCAAGAGATAGCTCTTAATGCCTCTCCTATGAGGAGAGGGTGAGAGGACTGGGGCTGTTCAGCCTGGAGAAGGAAAGGCTCACTGTGTGTATGTGTCTTACCAATGTGTATGTGTACATGTATTCTTTGCACCTGAAGGGAGGGTGCAAAGAGGACTCAGCCAGGCTCTTTTCAGGGGTGCCCAATGCCAGGACAAGAGGCAAGGAGTTGGACAGGGTGACCTCCTGGTGTCCCTTCCAACCTCCATCATTTTATGATTCTGTAATTCTGCTATCAGTCCAGCTATCAACATGTTATACAATTAATAATCTCTGACAATGTTCTCAGTGATGCACTGGAAATTACTGTGTAATGACATCTACTATGTAAGGATCAGGAAACTTCAGATAAAAAAATCTGAATGAGGTTGAGTGTTGAAGAAAGTGCCCATAGCTCTCCTGTTTTATTTCAGTTTCCTATAATTTTTATACAAGAATGTGTCTAATCTTTATATAAATATCTTTAGCACACACAAATCCCATATATTTCCTGGTATCTGAATTGAGATTGGACATTTTTTCTAAATCCTGTTTCAGAGCATGACACTGATTTTATTGGGGATTTTTTTTTTTTTTTTTAAAGATTGCTTTTGTGAATTATTGGGCTATAAAGCAGAAGTATAGCATAATACATCTTCTCCTATTTATGGATTCTACAGATATGACACTATGTGTGTGACCTTGTTCTAATATTCCTATTGTAACACAAAATGTAATCCCAAACACTAGATATACATAAGAAATTGCCCTGGCAGTCATAGTTGATTTCCTAATGTCTATTGTTTCTTTATCAGATGAGCACTTTATTCCAGGTTTTAAATCCCCTAGATGGCACTACAGAATACAGTATTTAAATTTTTTTTTTTTTTTTTTTTTTTTACAATGCTGCTGAATAGACAATGTTAAATAATTTTTGTCTTGAAAAATAAACATTAACGAATTGTTTAACAAAATGAAATAGAAGGCAAAGAATTAGTTTAATAAATGCAGGATAATATACATGCTTGGTATGTTGGCATGTCCTTATGTACAAAAAGTGGAATGGCACGCTAGACATGTGCCAGATCACATACAACCCTTTCTGCTCGTGTGGTCCAGATGGTAGCTGTCAGATTCAAATCCAGACTTGGGCCTCCAGGTCTGAATTGGAAAATAAGTGTATTCTATCCAAAGGGATTAAAAATCAGGAAAGAAAACAAGTGCTGTTGTTTTGGATTAGAAACACACTCGGCAATTGTAAGTGCTAAAAATGTATACTGCAAGGAGTTGTTTTCTGAGACCAGGTAAGAGAATTTAACATTTTAATTGGCATTTAAATTTCATGCTTTAATGGCAGGTATCTCATATGCTGGACCTCGTGGGAATCCTGATAGTTTGTATTACCCCTGAGCATTTCTTTCGCAGTTGGTGTGTCATTGTCTGCAGATCACTGCAGTAAATACTGTACTGTACTGCTGAAAAGAGAGAAAAACATTGCCATCTGCAACTACAGCTTGCAAATTACAGCTTGCAATCGTCTGCTATTAAGTAAAGACACTTTAACAATATTTTGGGTTTTAAATTAGCGATTTACATCACAAGACACTGAAAATACTACTCTTTTAATACTGCAATTTTCTTTCCCTTTAACCAGGCATCAACATGTATTGAATAAAAAAAAAAGAAAGTAATACAAACCAATGTTTACTTAAACAATAGCCACTGACAGCAAGAGACACACAGATGGAAATCCAATAGTTTCTATCTCAGTGGGAGGTTTCATTTGAGGACCTTGATGGGGATGTGATTGGACTGCAGCACTCTAATTTACGTCATAGAGAATCTATCATGATGCCTTTTTTACTGCACTGCTGTGCCAGACTAGGTCTCCTATGAGAAACTGGTCTCAAGCAGGGAACAGGAAGGAAAGACTTTAGTTTGAAGAAGAGGGAAAAGAAATGGAGTTTCAGGTACTGAAAATATAGGCTAAGTTGAAATAGACTGATACTCTATGGACACGAGTAAGGGCAATGCCATGCTTTCGTTAGTTTTGAAAAGACTGGAAAAGGGAACCACAAAGAAGCTATAGAGCATATTTGTTGTGCAGTGCATGTTGCCCTATAGGTTAAAGGAGGAACAGAACTGCTTAATGTCTTGCCAGCAAATGGCTCAAAATGTGCCTTTTTAGTGTCACTACTAGGCTTCCAGGGATAGCAGGAGAGAATGGAGAGGAGTTGTCCATTATAATGAGCGCAGAGCTCATCTCTTCACCCAGGGAATTCTAGTGTCAGCAAAATGTATGGAGAAATCCTTGACAGAGAAAGCCCTGGATGTAATGGAAAGTGCCAGCAAATAATTGTATGAGGCAAGCATAATTTTCTGTTAAATTCCATCAGATGGTCCACAAAGGCCTATAAAAGTGCTCTCCTGTTATATATCTTGAAGATTTTTTTCCTCCAAGGGCTAATCTTGTAATCACTAATCAGCTAAAGCTCCATGTGCTTGCCTTTACCTTTGAGTACGCATAAAGTTGTTTTACTTCTGGTCTGCCTGGCCTTTGGAGGAAAACAAATTCTTTACTATTGATCAGAAGATAAATCTATTAAGGGAGATAGCATAACATTCTTTATTATCTGCATCCAGAGGCCACTTGGGCAGCTGGTAACACATTGATTGTGCTTGGAAGTCCTTTACTTCCACACACTTCTGTGATACTCTTAATCTAAACTGCATAATCATTTTCTTCCTGGTCAGCTTTCACAATATAAAAATGAGCAGTCTTTTGGCTAGGAGATAGTTATCCTTGGTTCTATTCCAGGATGATCCCTAACTTTTTTTTCCTGACATCACTTAGGCTACTTGTGATGTGATCTGCGGGTGGGTGCCATAGCACTTGGCAGGGTCCTGGTCTCTTAATTCCAGTGTTTCATGGGCAGTGTGCAGTGGTGGGTGCTAGGTTCCCTGGCCAGGGCACCCAAATACAAGTGAGAGAGCAAGCAGAGGGCTGGTGGTGCCTATGCATATCTCCCAGTTGGGTAGTGGCTTAAGCCTCTCCCATTTCCATTTTTTTTTTTTTTTTTTGGTTAATTATATGGTTTTAGATATCCTAGGATCCTGAAATCAATTTTAAGACTCTATTTTAGCCAGTAGGCCAGTAGTATACTCTGTACCTCCTATAATACTCTCCATATAAAGTCAACAACAGTAGTGAAATCTGTAGTGGAGACCTGGTAGCCACCACTTACAGACTTACTGTAGTCCTTGGTAGCCCCCATTTACACTGTAAACTCTTAGGTTCAGGACCCTAGGAGCGGAACCCCACTATTTGTTGATATAGGGTTTAGCATTATTTCAGATAGGCTGTGTAGAGACAGCTGTGATGCAAATGCTTTCCAAATCACATCTTTTGTTAGTGGAAATGTAAATTATTATCATTTAGCTATTTTTTTCTTAATCCTTTTTATTTAAAAGTAAGGTATACAAAACATATACAAAGGTATACTGTCACAACAATAAGTTATACAAAATTCCACAGTAGAATAAAAATAGGATGAAAATAAAAAGGCTTTTAATAAAAATCTAATCTTACAGAAATGTAGCCAGTTACATTCTATTCACATACCAGTCGCAGAATATTGTTTGTCAAGAGTTTTATGAAGTGCAGTTCCTTCACTTTATATAATTCGTTTGGTCCATGCTGAGTAACTAACACATTTCAGTCATGGGTCTAATCAAAATCAGTACTACAGTAAGACCTGCTTAGATTCTTTGAATGATTTACTAGCAAAAGGTGCTAATGCAATTACTGACTTACTTTTCTAGACTTATTAGTCACCTCTCTGATATAATTTATCACTCTATCTTATTACTTCTCTTAAGATCTGATGCCAGAAATTCTATTTAAGTATCAAATTGGTTGAATTTAATCTTGTGATTCTTGTTCAGATAGTTTCTGTACCTAACTAACTCAATGGTTTTCTCTGCTTCAGAAATGGCATGCAAGAGGGCACTGTTCTTGGTCTTCTATTAGATGCTATTTATAGTGCCTTTTGGTGATAAGAATCAGTGGATAATGGATGGATTTTCATTTCTATGCTGATTAAGGACACATTTCTTTCATTATAAAAGTTTTTTTTTCTCTCTTTTCTTTTTTTTTTTTCTTTTTTTTTTTAACTGACCTTATCCTGTCAGTTAAAGTGTATCACTGAACTCAATTTAATTTCCTATAAGAAAATGCACACAAATTCCTGTAATGTATGTGTGGCTTTAAATGGTTGAGAAATGCCATTAAGGTACTTCTAATGCTTCGAACAAAAATACAACCACTTATACCTTTGTTAATGAATGCTGAGTCTCTTCTGAACCACTATTTCTATATGAAAACTAGGTATATATTGCTTGAACTGTGGAGCAGCTATAATTTTGGTATATGCTTGTTAGGAGACTGTGCTTAATACTTAAGACTTCATATAGTTCTCAGCTTGAGTTAAACATATCCTTTCCTTTTTCAAGTCCTGGCTATTGTTTCCTTTTCTATCAGTAATATGAAAATTATCTGTGCACTGCTGAGAAAGGGGAAATAAAATGTGAATGTTTACATTTGCACTCATATAATGCTTACTACACAGCTTTTGATATGAGTCTCTTGGGTTGGCTAGAGGCCAGTTTATTTCCTAACCTATCATAGAACAGCTGGAGACCATGTGTAACTGCAAACTTGCCAAATCCGACATTTTTGGCTCATGGGAATTTGGATCAGAGAGAATGTGGCAGTCCAGGACAACTTCATAGAGAAGCATAATTTAGACATGGTTTCTGTAATCCTGTCAAAGACAGTCTGCATTATCACAGGCTGAAGGTTATAGTTCTCATCGATCTAAAGAAAATCTTGGTTAAAGGTATTATCTTAGAGATGAATTTAGTTTGATAGAATTTTTCCCAGACTATTATCCAGTTCTGATTCAGAGGATGAAGAAATAAAAAGACTTTTAAAGAGATTATAAGGTTCAAAAAAAGGATAGGCATAAAATGTTTTCTAGTGTATTCTGGAGAAGGACAGATTTTCATTTTTAGATCTGTGATGGTGCAAAGATTTTGCTGATGCTAAACTTAAAGCTAGTGGGTAGAAGACTGGGTGTTCTCAACCCTGGTGTCTCAGAAGCAGAGCAGGACACAAATCTTCTTTAGAAATTCTCATGTTTTTAATTAGTATGAATATCTTTGTACAGGCAGTGATAAGATGAAGTACTGCCTTTCTCATCTTGATGTCTGCTGTGTGGAGTCTATTCTATGCACACATTCAGAATTTGACCTTTTTAAGTGTATGATCCACTTTAGAACATAGTATATAAGGTAGTTTTTTAATAGTTTTTGAAAGGTGTTGCTTTGGGAGTTCAGATTCTTGGCATACTTCAGTGTGTAGATACCAGTGTTATAGGCACTTCAGAAATGATAATAATACATCTAGATTACACAGATATTGGCCTAAAGGGCTGAGTATTATTGCCAAATTCTAAAGTGAGAACATGGCTGTACAGATTCCCCATGCAGCTTGTGTTTAATTTTACAGGAGACATTGTTTTAATTTTTCTAATGATCCCCAATATAGAAATTATATTCTAATCAGTGCACGAGTCCAAGAAATTTTTGTGTACGAGCCAGCAAAAGGATCTTCTAAATATGAAATAGTTTTACTCAGTAATATAAATAATTACTGGAGTTTGATTAGAAGACAATGTTGAAAGGTGTACGCTATTTTTTACTAGAGTTTTACTATTGATAATCTCTAAGAAACAGGCAGTAATTCCAAGAAGTTATTTGAGCGTAATCTTATGTAAACATCTGTTGATGCTTGTGCTCTTCCCCAGACTTGGGCAGTTGGCTCTCTGCATGGTATTCATAGGCCTGCACCAGAAACCCAGGCCATTACTTTTTCCATGATTCCCCATAGTGTGGTCTAAAATTCTTCCAAGTGCAGGAACATTTGTAAGCTCAGATTACTGTCCTGGGCCCACCTAGCCACAGCTGCAAGGGCGGCAGGACCTGTGCAGCTCTAGGGGCTATAACCTAATCTTGAAACAGGTGAGTTGTCCAGAGTGACCATATATATATATATATATATATATATATATTTCCCTTTGAAACAGTGCTGCTATTTTGTTGAGATACCAGCTTGTGTGGTGGGGTACATGAGCACCTGGGGAGTAGGTCCTGATCCATGGATTGCTTCACTTTAATGAGAAAACCCTGCATTTCCCAACTTTCACTGCAGACTACCTGGTGTTAAGTAACTCTTCCTCATGAACCCGGGCTACTGGGGTTGGGGAAAAATGATGTATCTATGCAAGAAACAAGTGGGAGAAAACATGAATCTGTGACCTAGAACTAAGAAAATCCATGTGGGATGCAGCAGACTTGAGGTATTGTCCCTGACTGCAGTTAGGTGTTTTAAACAAAATGGCTGCCAAATGAAAAACAGGAATAGCGTTACTGTCCCTGTCATTGCCATTTGAATATTTTCCTTCCTCTCTCTTTGATGTACCTGCAAAACACCCTCAGAAGGGGGAGAGCTGTCCTGAGCTTTCAGCCTTGCTGTATGGAGGAATGGTAGCATTTCCCCTTCCCTGTGAGGCTGCCTGGGATTTCCCCCCACACCTCCAGAGCTTGGCAGCCCTCTGTGACTGGAGCACTGCACCTCTGGGCTTCTGCTCCCTGGAGTCATCAGTCACCTCTTGCAGTGGCTGCCACTGGGCTTCCTAAAAGTGACTTCTTCACACATCCCCTTTTCTAGATGCTCCTCCAGTTTGAATACTTTTTGGGAAAGTGCTTCTTCAAAGTATCATGTAGTGGCACATAGATCCACTTTTAATGGCAAGCTATAAAAAATATTCTACTCCTGCACACTTCACATTTGGCGATTACCTTTTCTTTGCTATTACCTGAACTGCTGCTAAGGCAGATGGCACTGTCTAGTTCCTGTCATCAGCTGATGAACTTCAGCTGTCTCCAAAAGATGCTATTTAAAGAAAGCTTCTGCAGGAAAAGAAAATGTGACCCTGTTGTGCCAGTGATAAAAATCAGTGTATTGGCTAATTGTCACAGAAGTTAGCAATCATACAATGATGATGGGCACCTGTGCATTACTGGAAATTAGCTAATGAATATAACCATTTCTTTCTCTCTACCTAGAGAGAGGAAAATAAATATTCTGCTCTGTGTTTTTGTTCAGAGCTCAAATGGCCCTGTCTGTTATCAGACCTTTATTTAATGGGATTTCTTTTTTCTTGTTCAGATTTAGTCCTGTGCTGATTTTGTAAATATATATTATATTTTTATTTCTGAAACTATTTTATTTCATGTTCCTTTCAAATCATAGGAAAAAAATAATATAATATATATATACACACATCTAGTTATGCCTCTGGGACTGACAAGGTTGGTTCTGGTGCTGGAACTGGTAGCCTTAATAGAGTGGAAAGAGGCTTCTTGAAGTTAACAGTTTGGTCTTGCTGCCAGGAGTAGAGTAAGAGGAGATTTACAGTCTGCGGCACATGCATGGGGCCCTTGAGACTACCAGTCTCTAAATGAGTGCTTGATTTGTTTGGATGATTGAACAATCGTAATCCTAGATGCTGCTTTTTAATTTATAAAATGTTCTTACTATCTGTGGAGAATCTTAGGCTTTCAGAAGCCGTTGTAGTGTATATACATTGTTATGCTAAAGGAGAGGGAAATGCTGCAAGGTTGTTGCTGTCAATGCTCAATAAGAGATGAATGTAAGGTTCCTCAGAACATTTTGCATCATTCAAATAAATGAATTTTAAGACTATGTAATGAAAGTCTGGATACTTGTGTACTGTAGAGTGCATTATTTAGAGTCAGAACATGTTTGCAGACTTGAAATTCATCTCATCTTCATTATTATTATTTGTAGTTACAGCCAAAGGTCTCAGTCCTATTGTACTAGACATTGCAGACAATAGCAACAAAGGCGTTTTTTTCTAAAGGACTTTTATACTTGAGCTAGAAAATACTTTCTAAGAGGTTAAAAAAAAAAAAAAAGTTGAATGTGTTCATTGTAATTATTTTCATGTAACAGTAGGCTTTTTTCCTCCTGTAACTTAAAGACTGCAAGAGTGGAGGTCAAAGTCCTCCTGTATACACTTAAAAAATCTCGACAACACTATTTTATGTGCAAATATATTACCTTAGATTTATTTTATAAAATGCCAGAGGGCTCTATCTTTGCTAACATTTAGAAGCTAACATTTTTAGCTTCTATACATTTAGTTAACATCACCAAATAAAGCTCTATCATTTATTGTTGTATCCAGTACTCTTTCTCTTGAACAGCTCAGCAATTATTATAACATTTGTGTGAAGGAAACAGGTATATGGTGTGGAACTGGATAACCTTCTTTCCATGTATTAAAAATAAATGTTTTACCATCTCTCCATAGGCTTAGGCTCTCTGTGGAATGAGACCCACTGGACACGTCTGTGCTGTTCACAGAGTCACCCCTGAAGAGGTTTTGCAAGCAGTGTGCTCTGTGTCTTGCTGTCATCCACATACCTGGAACGCAGACTGAGTGCAAACCGCGTGCCTACTGGCATACAAACCAGTCTGGCACACTGCCATGATTTGGACAGCACAAGCAGGCTGTGATTACAGGTGTGCTCTCCATTTGGGCTGACTGTCTGGTTTTGAGGACATTTCTTATGTAATTCCTGCCCCAATGAGCAAATTAGAACAGAGACAGCAGATGACTGTAGGTATTCAGGAGAATAAGGGTTTAAATGTTTTCAAACTTAAATTGTAAAACTGAACAAGAAGGGAAAATTCCATTCTTATTTTCATCTGAAGCCTTTGGAAAAGGTAGTTTAATATGAGGCAAATCTTCTTTTCTAAAAGAATAGATGTGACCTTGTATGTGGAAGGCAAGATCAGGGGGTGGCAGGTAAATTCTCCTGAGGCCATTATTGGGTATTGTTGCTTGGCAAACTGGCAGACTCATTCTGGCTGGGAGATACAGATATTTGGGAAGAGATCTCTACCGCTAACTTTCCACTATCTTGTCCACTATCTTTCAAAATTCTTGTGACAAAATTCACCCAAATCAGTACTGTCTATTTAGATTCTAATTTGCTTTTCAAAAATTCTCTATGATTGAAATTGCAAGAAGAAAAATTGAACACATAGCAGGTTTTTCCATGGGCTTCAGATTACAACCCCAAACTCCCAGACTGTCTCAGATCTCTCCTTTTCCATCATCAGACACAGAAGAACCTTATCTCTGGGACTGCAGATGATTTTTATGGTAGGAAAAAAAAAAAGGAAATTAAATAAACGTAACTTGAGGTATCTATGACAATACCTTAAACTGGAACTGGTTGGGGAAAATAGTAAGCGTCTAAGAGGCTCTCAGCTTTCTTCTCATACTTGTCAAAATACTTTGGATTATTGACTTTATCTTGACTAGAACCTAGGGAATTTTGCATGGATATCTTGCCTTTGATTTTCAGTGGGATTCTTGATAAATCATTTATTTTCTGTTTCCCCAGTTCTTCAACTGGAAACATAATAATTCCTTACAAAAATATCGTGACCAAAAAATGGTATTAATCTTATGAGTCAGTTATGAGGAGGACTCCACAGTTACTTGGAAAACAAGTTATGAATTTGGTTATAAATGCTACTTATGACAGTCCCTTCCTTCAATGTAATAGAAAAAAAATGTTAAAGTTTTTTGCCGATTCTGTAAAAGAAACCACAAAGTGCAATACTCAAACAAAATGGAAAGGTGTTCAGCTTAGAGAAGTGTTTGCTATAAGCAGCTTTTCAAGTTAATGAGAAATATCCACGTAAGGGGGATTTTAATAAGCATTCTCTTGCTGAGTTCTACATTTTTGATTAATTTAAACTAAGTCATCCAGGTTTAACGTAGCAAAAGACAGCTTCATTCCAATACTGCTGTTGGATTTTTACATGTAATAACATTTTTATTTAAAAAAAATGTGCATTTGAATCTCAAGGACATAATAGTTCTAAGTGTCTGTTTACATTATCTGTACATTTTTTTTTCCTACTTCACAAAGCTTTCTGGTTTGATTGCATGAAATCTGGTAACTGTAAAGGAATAGAGAAATACCTATCATTCATTAAGTAAGAGCCCTAATTAAATGTTATGTTAACAAGCTTAAAATAGGATAAATATTCTATCAGTAGTGATATATGAAAACGGTTAAGTCTTTCTTATGTCAGACTTTTATATACCGTAAAATCAAGGTTTTTATTCTGAACTGATAAGGTATAATCTATTTCTCTTTATAAGAAGCGAAATTATGTAGTCATAAGTATGTGAGAGTCAGAGAAGCATGGTGAAATTAGCAGACTTTGGAGCCTTAGAGTATATCCTGTACTATTTGATGATAATTGGAGAAGCTGCTTTAACTTTACTTTTATCAGTATGTTGTGTTGTTTACAACGTAAAGCATCTGTAGGACTTCTAACCTTTCAAAATCATCTGCTTCACAAGCAAAATAATCCCCTGGATAAAACCACCATTTAAGCTCCTGTTGTGTTGCTATTTCACTCCCTTGGAGAAGATAATATGGTAGGTTGAATTATCTAGTAGAAAATTGTCAAGAATTACGTTCTGAATGACAGTTGCTGTGTTAGCACTCCATGATGGATGAAAGGCTGATGGACATTTTAGAGTGAGCAAGAACATTTTTTCAAAGTAAAAATTATAAAAATTGTGCATTTAAAAACAAAAAACAGAATGCTCTCAGCAGTATGAAGAAACTGTCGCTTAATTTTATATTCCTTGAGCCAAACTCTTGCTCTGGAATTGTCCTATTTCGTCGGTAACAGCTAATCACACTGGAGGAACTAAATTGCATGTGTCCCTTTACTTAACTTTGTAGAACACATAAGCAATTATGGGAACTAAGAAAGGTTATATTGGCCATCAGTCATTCTAGTTTTATACTTTATTCACCCCATGGCGCCTTGTAATTGTTTCTTAAATGACCTTATTATGTTTGTGCAACATGGAAAATAGCTTACTTCACTTGCTTAAAAATTATCGCAATTCCATGTGTTTCTATTCATTAATTTTTACATGCAGATTGCTTAAATTACTTATTATAAACTGTACTTCTGTGGGGTGTCTGCACTAATTGGTAAGCCAAATTACCTACAACAATTGTTTCTTGTGGCAGTGATGATATTTATGTGCACAGACTTTGATTCTGGTGGGCTGGCACAGACCTAGCACTTCAGGCATTTTGATGTGTCCTGGTGCCTTAGGAAGAGGAAAGAAATGCAGATCTTGTGCGTCTGACTTAATTTTCTGCCCGTGTACCTTCAGTTTTGCTCTTGCTTGCTTAAGATAAACACCTAATACATGTTCATTTCTGTCAGGGCAAGCTGAATTTTGCCTAATAAAAATCCCACAGGACTAAATTACAGGGATCACAGGACTTTTTAGACCATAAAATATATTGCCTGTATTTCACCATTAGTTAGCAGAGTACTTGATATGCAATAACGTTACTATAATGTGCTTTGAATGTTTTTATTGGGTTAATCCACTAGTAGTGAGAAAGTCTGATCCTGTGAATTGGAGTGGATTCAAGAATGGAGAGAACCAAAACAGGTGATTTCTGTCTCTCTTCAGTGTCCTCCCCAAGCTTTTCCACACCACAAGCTAGCCCATAAACCCAGCATTCTGAGGTAAACATAAGCTGAAAAACACTGATGACATTATGCTGTGTGGCTGAAAGTAATTAATGGTTGTGCATCTAAGTACAAGGTCTTCAGGTCACATCTGCCTCTTAAAATCACTGGGAGTAGGAAATGTTCATCACCTTCCTGAGTTAAATGATAGTTTTAGGATAGGCTTGCTTTTTATTTATTTATTTATTTATTGTGTGTGTGTGTGTGTGTGTGTGTGTGTGTGTAAGGGTTTATTTTGTGGAGGATGATTCTGTATCTCTTTTGTGACTGAGAGCTTGGGGCTTCCTGCTGTCAGATTTCAAGTTAATCTTAACCTCTAGTAACAGCGAATACATTGCTTCTGGGATGCCTGATTAGGACAGCAACCTTTGCCTTCCCTTTCTCCCCCAGAATGGAAGGTTTTAACCGCAAGAGCAGAATAACTTTTCTTATTGCACCAGTTTTACCACTCAGAACATTAGTACTAATTTGGCTTGGTGTGTATTGTAGCTATTTTAACCAGCAGTCACTGAACCAACAGATTTTTAGCCTGAAAGATGCTTGTAGGTTCCAGCATGGACTCCTTGCTTGAGCAAGGGTGCATGAACCAGAGCTCCCTTCCAACCTTAACCATTTCACAGCTCTGTGGCCAAGCTTTATCAATTCTCATCCAGGAGGCAGAAAATATCAGAAAATATGCATTTAGCTTTTTTTTTTTTTTTTTTTTTAATACTTAATCACTGTTTTTTACAGTGCAGAATACATGTACATAGGCAGCTCTGAAAATAGGAACCAGAATCCAAAAGCAGTTTGCAACATATTTTTCTCATGGTTTACATTAAAAAAAGAGAGAGACAGAAGGAGAGAAGGAAGCTAAGAGAGAAAGAGAGAGAGAAAGGAAGAGGGGAGCTGGGGGACAGACAGTGGGAAAGAGAAAGGAAGGAGGGAAGGGGAAAGATAAAGAGAAAGAAAAAAAGAAAGATATAAGAAAAGAAAGTGAAATAGAGGTTGAGAAAGACAAATAAAAGAGACCTAAAAAAGAGAAAGAAGGAAACAGTGAGGAAAAAGAAGATGAAAAGAGAACAGTAGAGAACAAATGAAAAAGAGAAGGTGGGTGAGAGAAAGCAAAGAAGTGAGCAGACAAAAAAGAGAGAATGAAAGAGAAAAAGAGAAAAAGGGAAAAAGAGAAGAGAAAGCAAGAGAAAGAGAGAAAAGGAAAAGAATGAATGAGAAAATAAAGTGAGAGAGAGAAGGAAAAAAGAACAAGAGTAAAAGAAAAAGTGAGAGGAAAAGAGGAAAAAATGAGAATGGAAGAAAGAGCAAGAGAGAAGGAACAGAATAGATGTGAAAAAGAGAGAGAACAAAAGAGAGAAAAGTGAAAAAGTAAAGAGAGCAAAAGAGGGAGAAAGAAAGAAACAAACAAGAGTGAGGTAAATCGCCTTAGCTGCTGCTTAGGCATCTTAAAGAACAGCGTAATGGAAAACACTGATAACATTACTAATTCTTCATAGCCAGAGGTTAAGTTTTGTTTAAGAATTCACAGTGCTAGCACAGAAAACATTTAGGAATGTAAGCTCTAGTCTCAGATAGAGGTACCACACATGTGTAACTGTGGACACAGGTGTTCATGACCATAGCAGAAGTAGGATTTTGCATGTAAAATCCTACTTTTTTTCCTCCCTCCAGTGTTTATAATCCTTTAACAAATTTGCAAGTGGGTGCCATTTCAAGCACTTCAGTTTCTAAGACACTGTGATGTCAAGGCTGGGAGTTGAAATTTTACCTGCAGTACTGAACATCTGAAAATCAAACTCTGGGATGCTCAGTCTTTCCAGGACAATGTTATTTTCTTAATATAGATTATTATTATTATTATTTTTAATGAATTGCTACTGCAGTGTGAGACAAATTTACTTCATTCCTATGAAACTTTGGGATGTATAATTTCTTATTTACCTGTTACATCTGATCATATTTACTTCCAAGAGGTGAGAACACATTAATGTATGCAGGTGCATGCTCCAGTATTATGATGGTAGGGTAAGTGAACCCCATGAATATAAGAAGATTGCAAAATTTCTGGAGTAATGTGAAGAAATAAAAATGTGTAGGATGAAATTATTGTCCTTTTCATCCACTCAGCTGTAGATGCTAATGATTGGACTTGTGCATTCATTTATCTATGACATGACATATCTTCTTCATTGTACAGTTGTTTCCATGGAAGATATTTTACAAACATCTTCTGATATACATTTATGAATTCCTGACAGAAGGATTTACAAAGCTTAAAACATGAATTGTTCAAGTCATAGTTTCGTCTTCACTTAAGAACCCATGTCGTTTTTGATATACAACAGATATGCTGTGTTGTATTAAGTATCATGTGTTCTTTTTTGGATTTGAGTTTCACCTAATACTTGTATAATAAGATATAATAATAATATAATACATTATATAATTATAGGTATACAGATATGTTCATTTACAATTATGTTTTGTAAGATATGCTTCTGTATTAAGTTATCAAATAAGATGTCACAGATTTATCACTATCAATACAAACATCACTGTTGAAGCCAGGGGTCAGTAAACTAATATATAATATTTTAACATGCTACAATGTTTTTAATGCAGATTTTTTAAAATTCCAGATTACAAAAAGTACTTCCAGTTAAGCAAGAACCCAGAAAGCAGAGACTTCTTCTAAAAGAAAGAAAACTTCAAAAAAGAGATGACAAAACAGAAACTTACCTTCAAAAGGGCATAATATATTTTCTGAACAATATACAGTACCTTATCTTAATTGAATAGTTTTATCCTGCAACCATTTATGGAATAGGAGAGTACAAAATGAGGTAAAAGCCTCACACATATTCAGTTTTCTTGGTCTAATTTGCAAAGCTTTTCAAATTAGGTTCTGCAAGAAACAGTCAACCTTTGCCCTTTGCAGACTATTTATTATTTTCATTTTGAGATGAAACTACAATAGCTTCATACTCTTTTCTTCATAGTCAGTGATTTGCTTAGAGAGAATAATCGAGAATAATACTGAGAAATGGAAAAGAAAACAGCTACATGTTTTGTTTTCTCAGAAACTAAAAATTAGAGTGAAGCTGTACTAGCAGCATCAATCCAGGGCTGTTTAATCTGGTGAGAATTTGGCAGACAATGAGTGAATACCAAGAGACAACAAAGAACATAATTTCATAGTCTTTTCTGTCAAAAAAAAAAAAAAGCCAGGATTTGGCTGGTGTCATATAAGAAAACACAGGGGCTTCATCCATAACCCTGCCCATCAGGCACTGCAACAACGGTGCTTAGATTCTAAGAATCCTTTTGTTCCTAAGTCTGAAAGGTGGTGATAAAGATTTAACTTTTGTCCACTGTGAGGACAGTCTCCTTCCCACAGCTCACCTCGAGACAGTGCTGCTCCCCCCCTTACTCATATCATTGTTCAGCCTTCACCATTAAAACATCACGAATAATAATTACATGGTATGGTATTAATATCCCACCTCCTTTCCCTTCCCATACCTTTCCATCCGCAATCAAAACTAAAACTCATGCAATCAAAACTAAACAATCAAAAAATTCAAATAACTTGCAATCAACATTTTTGAATATTTTTCCCCCTAGGTTTCTGTTAAAAAAAAATAATTATAAGTTCAATAACTTGTGAGAAGCTGCCCACACATGCACAAAATATGCTGCACAGGCTGAAAGAGTTTAAAAAAGCCTGAAAAAAGAATCCACCTCCCCCCGTCCAAAAGAAAAAACAAACAAAAAACCACCAAAGAACAAAAAACTTATTGGCTTTTTATCCCTTGTATTATTTATTTACCCCTTTGTCCACTTGCCAATGCATTTTCCAAATGACAGATTTTCTAATATTTCTCTTAGAGGAGTAACAAGGTGAATAATTCCTCATTCATGATGATTTCCCCCCGATATTTAGCAAAATAATCAAAACAAACGTCCTTCTTAATTTTATCTCATTATTCTTCCTGGAGCTATAACCCTTTTTGTCACTTGGAATAGTGCCTCTCCTTCTCTAATGCTTTCCCATGAAAAATTTGTAGGTTATTATTGCTCTCCTTAGCTGTTGCTTAGCTAAGTGATATATATTTGACAGACTGTAATTGCATGAGCCCCTGGGAAGTGCAACTGCCAAGCTGCACACAGCTCTATTTGGGATACATATTACAAGGTGTGTCAAATGCAGCCGGATGTAGTGCATAAACAAGAGAAAAATCCTGCTCCAACTGTGTAAAGAAAGGAGAGGGAAGGGTGCTTTTTATTTATTGATAGATTTGTTTTAAGCCAGTTATAACAATCTCAGCTGTCTTCTAAAGTTTTCTAAAGGTCGCTAGTGAAAGCTTGAAAGCTCGCATGCACCACTGCAGGTTCACAAGCACCTGCACGTCCCCCAGATACCAGCCCAGATCCTCTCCTTGCCTGGACTCATGGCCTCCTACTTGCTGGTAGTTTGACCAGCTTGAGGTTTGCCAAGGGAATTCATACACCCACC